GTCAGGTGAGCTGGGTAGCGCCCCCTCTCCGCCCCTCCCCACCCCCCACAGGGGAAGGACACCTCTGCCTGCTCCCCTAATGTGCCCCCCACCCTCTCCAGTCAGCCCTCTCCTCTCCCCCACGAAATGACATGAATTTCATGCAGATTACAAAAGGAGCCCTCTTGCTGAGAAAGGCTAGCACAGTCAGAGAGACCCTACCCCTCCCATTCTCCTCCAGGGCCAAAGAGAGGAAGAGCAGGAGGGACGAACTTCTTAGAATAAAACACAGCCAGTCTGCCCCAGGCCCTTGGCACTGACCCCGCACAGAGCCTGTGCCACTCCTCGGGGAGCTAACATCTCTCTGGCTGTCTGGGCTGGCAAGGTATCCAGCCCAGGCAGACCAGGAGCCCAGCATGGCCTGCGGGGGAGGGGCAGGTCTGGGCCCCCATCTTCACTTCCGTTAGAGCAGAGCTGCTTCTCTCTTTGCAGTTTGAAAACACCTGCTGTGGTCCCCTCTCCCATTTTATAGGTGCGGACGAGGAGGCCCTGGGAGGAAGACCGTGGCCAGTTATTCACAGTTCCACAGGTCCTGCCTCCAGGCCAGTGCTCATCTCTGGCCCTCCCCTGTGCACCCCAGGGACCTGCTCTGCTCCCGTGCATAAGACCACAGGCCTTCAGGGAGTGAAAACCCTGGGACCACGAGAGAGAGGGGGGCAGGCTGCACTTGGTGCCCTGCAGCCCTCCCAGGGTCGAAGGGGACAGCAAAGGCTCTTCCAAGCCAGAGAAGTCTCATTCCATCAGGCCCCAGGGCCACCTGCCCCAGCCTCCAGGGTGCAGTCTCCTTCCGATGTGCCCTGGGCCCCTTCCTCCCAGGCCCGGTGTGATGCCGTCTTCTCCAGTGAGCCTGCCTCACCCTACCCTGAGCTCCTGGAGCCTGCTGGGTCCCTCCACTGATTTGGCACTTGGTACAGGTGACAGTGGAGGTACATCTCAGACAGTGAAGCTGTCAAGTCAGCGCTAAAGGCAAAAACTCATGTAGCCTAAACTACCCTTGAAAATACAGGGGGCAGAGGAACTGGCTAGAGGACGTCATGGGGAAACACCCAGACGAATCCGGAACATGGGACTGCAACATGCCTGCAGGACTGCTGGCCTCAAAAATAATGTCATTTAAAACATCAAAATGGACAGAGGGGAGATTTGCAGCAGTCAAAAAGATTTAAAAACACAGTTACAAAATGCAATATGTGCACCTTGGTTAGAGCCTGGTTCCGAAACCAGGGATCAGTTATTTGGAGTACGACGGGGGGAAATTTGAGTAGAGGTTAGAGAGCCAATGTCAGGAAATTACTGCCGTCCTGGCTGCGAGGCTGGGCCAATACTTAGGAGAATGGCCTAACCCAGGAGAGCAGATGGAAGTACTGGGGGAAGAGTCTTGTGACGTTTGCAACTTACTTTTAAATTAGATCAGAAATACATATACATAGAGAGATAAATGAATGTGGATAGATGTTACGCATTTAAAATCGAAATACTGAGTCGTGGGCATTCATAATAAAACATTCGGTAGAGCATTTTTGTCCTTGATCTTCGCGCTAACGCACAGCGGGGACAGCCCCGGGCTGGGCCCACGGATCGCTGAGTTAGTCCAGCAGTGTTCCTTGACTAGGGCCAGAAGCACTGGCTGCGCCCACAGGGGCTCGGCAAAGGCCCAGCTGTAAACCGCAGGCTCATTCTCCAAGCAGCAGATGTCCACACCACCGACGGCTCTAGAACCCAGGATGACCAAGGCAGCTGTGGGGGCTGCCTCCCGCCTGTGTCCCCTCCCTGGAACCACAGCCCGTGGAGATCACGGGATGGGTGGTGGCGTCCCCCATGGAGTTAAGCCATCTCTCTTTCGTTTGCCAAGTGCTTCGAGTGAATAAACGACCCCACAGACAGACGCCACTGCACGTGCACATCCCTGGCTTTCTGCCCTTGTAAGGGGGATCTGGGCGCCCATGAGCTGAGGCCTCTAGGGCATCTGATCTCCCACCCCTCTCCCCAAACGTGTCCGGGCCCAGTGGGTCCTCAAGAAAGACCCATGAGTGGGCAGGGAAGTAGCAGCAGTGATCGAGACAGACTTAGCACATGCAGGCCACCCGGGGCTCCCAGCAGGGCGGAGGAACAAGGCCTGAATACCAACTCTGCTCTCGCGGGATCTCATTCCTGCCTGCTCCTTCCTGCGGCCAGAGGCAGGGAGAAGTGGAGCTGCCCCCTCCACGAGGGCCAGTTCTAAGCCGGCCCACTTGACACTCTGAGCTCCAGGGGATGGGGGCAGGCTCCAGGCCCAAAGGGTAGATTTCAGAGCATGGGAACTGCTAGCCCAAAGCCCTCACTGACAGATGGGAGAGGCCCGGAAGTGGCTGGGCCCCCCTGGCGAGTCTTCCTGAGTGTACACGTAGACCCGCCACCCCATCCTCAGACATTTCGCTCCTTGTCCCTCTGGGGCCAGCAGTGCTGAGGTCGCCTGGCCTGAAAGCCCCGATGAGAATTCTGCTCTCTGCACTCACAGAAACCGCAGTGTCCACCTCTTTCCTCCGCCCCACTGGAGACCTGAGAACAGGGAATCAGTTCAGAATGCAGACCCGGGCCCCCGCAGGCTGGGGAAGGGCCTTGCCAGGCAGGGAGAACACAGCAGGGGTGTAGACGCAGGTCTGGAAACAAGAAGGCTCGAAGGCACCCTGGCTGGGAAGAAGTGGTTTGTCCCCATATCCTGGAATGACCACGGTGGTGACAGGGAGGGACAGGCTGCCCCGCCTTGGCGAGTCTTCCTGAGTGTACACGTAGACCCGCCACCCCATCCTCAGACATTTCGCTCCTTGTCCCTCTGGGGCCAGCAGTGCTGAGGTCGCCTGGCCTGAAAGCCCCGATGAGAATTCTGCTCTCTGCACTCACAGAAACCGCAGTGTCCACCTCTTTCCTCCGCCCCACTGGAGACCTGAGAACAGGGAATCAGTTCAGAATGCAGACCCGGGCCCCCGCAGGCTGGGGAAGGGCCTTGCCAGGCAGGGAGAACACAGCAGGGGTGTAGACGCAGGTCTGGAAACAAGAAGGCTCGAAGGCACCCTGGCTGGGAAGAAGTGGTTTGTCCCCATATCCTGGAATGACCACGGTGGTGACAGGGAGGGACAGGAACCTGCACAGAGTGGGGTCCCCAGGGTGGGCTCAGAGGCAGTGTGGCATTGGAAGAAGAGCACTGGGCTTGGCATGGGAGCCGCCAGTCCGACGCCTGGCCCCGCTCCCGACCAGCTCTGTGACAGGGGCCAAGCAGGGCGCCTCCCCTTTCTGGACCTGTGCCATACCCGACCGACCAAGGGCCCTTCCAGCCCCAAATGCTAGAAGACAAGGCTCCCAGAAAGCACTTCTTGGGTATCAGTTTGAAGGTGAGTTGGCAACTGGGGACTGGGAAGAGGCACTCCAGCCTCGGTCACTTCACATTGTTAAGAGGAGGGACAGGAGCAGACCCCGACCAGAAACCCTCCAGAGATCCCACTGTCGACAGAGACAGGGACAAGGACAACTCTGGGGGCCCCACAGGCATCGCAGCTCCAGGGCGGCTCCTGACCTAGCACCATGTGAGGGCAGGGGCGGGCCAGCATCAGGCCTAGCCCTCTGGCCCCAGCCCGGGCACTCTCCCTTGGCCATGGTCCCCACAGGTCATTGGGCTTCATGAAGCCAGGCTTCCTGGAGAGACGGGATCTTCCCTGTCCCTCTTACCACCCACCCACTGCCCAGTGTAGCCCCAGGGGAGCCATGGCACTTTGGGGAGGGGACAGAGACCTCTCGTGGAGCACCTCCACACTGTCTCCTTGATGCCCCGACACACCAGGACACATACCCTTGTCCATCTAATTCTCTAACACTAAGATATGACACCCTTGAAGACTGGAGCTGACCACCATTTTGTATGACTGAATTAAAAACAAACCCAACCAAAAAAAATATAATATATATATATACATGTTATATATATATATATATATAAAACACAGTGCGACCCCAGCACCCAGGGTATAAACGCTGGCACCAAGAAAAAAAATATTAAAATACTTTAGCTTCTTAGTATCGGGGAGGTTAAGGGGTCTCTGGGAACCCCTGGCCACAGGTAGGGGGCAAAGTGGTGGGCGGCGGTCTGCCCTCTGCCCGTGTCTGCCAGGGCTGGGCTATGGGTGCGGGGACGGCGTATGTACATGTACGTGTATCCAGGCAGACCCCCCAACCGCCTCCATCTTTTACCACAGGAAATACCACACACGTCTATCCCAGGGTGAAGGGGGCAGCTGAGGCCTGGTCTCAGGCCCAGGGCATGGGAGTGCCTCGGGGCCCTGGAGGCGGCCTGAGGACTGGGTGGAAACTGTAGGAACCAGAGCTTCTCCCCCTAAAGGGAAGTGAGATGGGAAGATATCCGTCAGAACATGGAGGTTCCGAGTTCTCGTGAGGGCCACCCTCACCTCCAGCCAGTGGCTGACTCTGGGTACCCGGCTGGCCCCTGTGAAGGGCCTGGCTCGAAACGGTCAGGGAAATGTCCGATCTCCTTCCCTGGTTTGGCAAAGGCCCAGTTGGGCTCTTCTCCCTTATGTCTGGAGGACAGGGAACATATGGCAGCTAATACTGAGGGGCCCTGCGGGAGCAGGGAGCTGGGCAGGAAGGACAGGGTATGGTTGGGAGAACACAGTGAGGGACAGAAAAGAGTCCCAGGGACTCCCTCCTACCAGGAAGTGGCCTCCCAGGAGAGGCTGCATGGACCTCGGGTGTTGGGGGTCCTGCTGGCCCCAGCCTCGGCAGTGGGTGCTCCAAGGCGCTTGGCCTGCCCAGGCTCTTCTCCTTGGCCCGCCCAGGCTCTTCTCCTTGGCCCACGTGGGCCTCACAGAGTATTGCTCCTAAGTGCAGCCGGTGGGCCCAGCTCTGTACTTCGCAGGTCAGTCTGGCTCTGCGTGGGGCGGGGTGTCCCTGCCGGCGCAAACGTTGGGTCTGGTGGTGGCCGCCAGGCTACCTGGTGTTCTGGAGGTCCTCCCGCAGCCAGGTGGGCAGCGTCTGGCCCATCTTGTACAGCAGCTTGGAAAGCTCGATGTTGTGGTCCCGGTAATAGTCCTTCAGGAAAGTGCGGGACTGAAATGGGAGGGAAAGCTCAGCCCCTGCAACATGCTGGCTCGATGACCCCGCTTTAAAACCACCATGCTGGGCCGGCAAGTGGCGTGGTGGTTAAGGGCACTGGATTTGCACGTGACAGACCGTGGTTTGAGTCCTAGACTTGGTGGCTTGCTTTTTCACTTTGCCCCTCTCTCTCTCTCTCTCTCTCTCTCCCTCTCTCTCTCTCACTCCTGGTCTGGCCTTCTCTGGTCAAATTTAAAAAATAAATAACATTAAATAATTATTAAAAAAATTTAAATAACACCATGCTGCTGACACCACCCCTACTCCTCTCATCCATTCAGTCTTCTACAGGGCAGGCCCATCACAGGCCTCCTGACAGGAGCACCCAGATCAGCTCATGAGGCTCAAATTCTCGCAATGGAGAGGAAAAAGCATTAATCAGGACCAGCAGGTGGCATAGTAGTTATGTCACTGGACTTCCACATGGCTGACCACGGTTCGAGTTCCAGACCCACTGGCTTGAAACTCGCGCCACGTGCATGTGTGTGTGTGCCCAAGCTCCCAGGAAGAGACTGGAGAAGGATTATGGCCTGGCCATCCGCCCTAGGGGGGTGATTTCTCATTTTCCCTCTTACCGTCTCTGTTTCTCTCTCAGGTGAGCACATGTGCCCTACGGCAATTACCGCCAAAGAGAAGCAATCATCAAAACCAGAGCCAAAGGGAAAAGGGAAGCACAGCGGGTGCACGGTCTGCCCTCCCTGTTGTGTCTGCACGTCTCTGTAAGAACGGGCCACCCTTCCCTTCCCTAGGCCCCTGACGGCATGGACCCCGCCCTGTAGGACCTAGCTCCAGAGACCCCGCCTCTCCCTCGAGAAGCCTTCTTTCCCTCTTCCACCTTCAAGTGACATCCCCTGCTCTGAAGACCCCAGCCCTGGGCACTGCTCCTCCGGTACAGCACTCTCAGCCTGGCCTTGTACTTCCTGGTACGTGCGACTCATCTCCCTCCTAGGCCGGAGGGCCCTGAAGACAGAGGTGTCCGTTCATGCTCGGAACCCCACGGCATTCGGCCCATGGTGGATGGGAACCAAGACTTGTTCGACCAAGTCAATTCTGACCCCCCATGTCCCAGCCCATATCCCCTCCTCTTAAGAATACTGCCAGGCTGGGACCAGCAGATGGCATCATGGTTATGTGCTGGACTCCTAGCACAATTGACCACGGTTTTAGTCCTGGACCTGGCAGCTTAAAACTCACACGAGGTGCAGGTGCATGTGTGCCCAAGATCCCAAGAGAAGAATGGAGGAGAGGGGACTGCAGCATGGCTGGTCCTCCTGGGGGGTGATTTCTCACTCTGTCTCTGTCTCTCCAGCGAGTGCACATACCCTCTCTCTTTTGAGAAAGAGATCTTTCTCAAAAAAAAAAAAAAAGACAAAAATGTTGCCAGGCCAGCGGGTTCCACATGGTCTACTATGTGGTTTAAGTCCTGGCAGCTTGAAAAACACACTTGAAACACACACTGTGTGTGGTGTGTACCAAAATCTTGAAAGGAGGGAGAAATGGGGGAGAAAGGCGCGGCTCCATGGCAGGTGCTTTCTCACTTTCTCTCTGTCTCTCTCTGGAGAAGTAATAATAATAATAATAATAATAGAGGTTACAGGAACTAGATCCCACATGGCCCAGCGCAGCTCACATCCTAGCCCTGGTAGCTTCAAATACACACTGAGTACGTGAGTGTGTGAGTTCAAAACCCCAATGGGACAGAGAGACAGAGAAGGGATTGCAATACGACCACCCATCATTACCCGTCTCCCTCTGTCTCTCTGGCTTTATCTGGCAAGTGCACACACTCTCTGGCAATTAATGAAAAAAATAAATAAATAAAAAGGAAGACCGTGTACCGCCTAGGAGCTGCCGAGGCCGTTAGCACATGGGTGTGAAGAGGAGAAGGCTCTCCCACCCAGTCGCCCTCGGCAGTGCTCCCACCACTTACATCCAAGTCCATCTCGGGGTACTTCCGGCCCTTGCTCTTGCCAAGACACTTGGTTTTTCCTCCTTCAAGCAGCTGGCACCAAAATCCTTTCTTTGGGTCAAACCTGTGGAGATGGGGAAAGGGTCCAATGGCAGCTGGCCCAGCCCACCTGCTTCCCACTTGAAGTGCCACCTGCAGCCCCAGACCAGGGCGTCTACTCCCCTACACACACTCCTGAGCCCACTCTGATGGTGTGGGGCTGGCATTTGCCACCTGTTGGTCCAGGTTTGACCCTGGGCACCCCTAACCACACCTGCCACTCTCAGCAGACAGCAGCAGCCCCCCGGCTCCGAGTGTTCCTTCTGTAGGCAGAGTCGCCTCAGTTCCTGGGAAACCGTGACATGAACACTTTTCCTCCCTTCGCTGTTCTGAAACTCTTCCATGAGCACTCTCCACCCCAGGGTAACTTTTCTTTCTTTCTTTCTTTCTTTCTGTCTTTCTTTCTTTCTTTCTTTCTTTCTCTCTCTCTCTCTCTCTCTCTCTCTCTCTCTCTCTCTCTCTCTCTCTCTCTCTCTCTCTCTCTCTCTCTCTCTCTCTCTCTCTCTCTCTCTCTCTCTCTCTCTCTCTCTTTCTTTTCTTTTCTTTTCTTTCTCTCTTTCTCTCTCTCTCTTTTTTTAACCCAACAGATAACAGGGGAGAAAACAAGTTCAGTAAAAATTCTTTTGCTTTTTTTTAATAAATTGCATCTTAGTTTACAAAACACAATTATCTGCGGCTGCACTGAAGCATGCCCATCACTGGGGAGTTTCATTGTCTTGGTGCCAATTTCAGAAATAATACAGCAAGACTGCCTTCTATACCCGACGTCAGCCTGCCTTGGAAGCATTTCTGGGCCATGAGATCTGACGCTCTCGTGGCAGGGGAGGTGGTATCCTGGCACAGAATTCAGCCCCGGATGAGGAACCACCGGGGTGAGCACAAGGGCCTCAGGATGACAGAATTCACATTTGACAGGTAAAGGGGACAAGGGTTTCCGGAGGGGACACAGGAAGGTGTAGATGATGATGACAGAGACAACACAATGACGACAGCAGCTCTTTACTGAGAATTCAGAACACACGAAGAACTGGATGGTGTGCTCCATGCACGTGCTTCTGTTCCATTCGGTGACCCTCAGGTTATAGGAATTAGCATCTTTACCCCCAATTTACAGACGAGAAAAGCGAGGTTTGAAAGGCCAGGGACCTGCCCAGGGTCACAGAGCTACAGAACAGACCGGGCGTCCCAGCCAGGCGTCTCTGACACCACTGCCCACAGCTGCTGCTCCTCTGCCTCCAGGTGCAGGAGGGCCGGCAGCAGGAACATTCCTCCCACTGCCTGGAAAGTCGAAGGCGGAGAACGGAAGGCAGTGAGGAGGGCGCGTTCCCAGGGACGGAGCCAGGGACGGTGACTCTACTCTTCTTTCTCTTGGCCCCCTCAGCCAGCTGAGTGTCACTTGTCGGTGATGCAGGACTGGAAGGTGGCCTCTGCCCAACCCTGGGACCCTCAACATAGGCCTGCACTCCCTCATGACGGAAGGCAGTGTCGACACACCTGCACAGGTTCTGAGCGGATGGGGTCCTTAGCTGTCAACAATATTCACAGTCTCCCTTCCCTGAAATGACACTTTAAGTACAAATCTAGTACCAAGAAATCCTTGTGGGAACTGGGGTTGCTTGTCGCTGTTCTAACTTACTTAGATAAAACACTCTGAAAACAGGGGCTGGCAGGTGGTGTGGTGGATAAGGGCGCTAGACTCCCATATGGTCGACCATGGTTCTAGTCCCAGACCTGGCGGCTTGCTTTCTCACTTTCCCTTTCTTTCTCTCTCTCTTTCTGGTCAAATTAAAAAATAACTGTAACAAATGGAATTAAATAAATAATTCTTAAAACAAAACAAAACAAAGCAAAAAACACTCTGAAAAACATTCAGCCCAGACTGAAGAGAATACTCCTGGGTGGGGGGGACCAGAAGAGATTCCTCACCTTCCTTTTTCTTAAGTTAATGCTCTTGTTAATATGACTTAACGTTGATCAGTGTTAGTTTTGCTGTTAAGCTGCTATCAGGCAAATGCTACCCAGTCCCTTGCAGTGGCTGACTCTAGCTAACCTCTGACCTGCCTGTAATCATTAAGCCTTTGGCGCCGTTGGCCCAGGTGCCTGATCAGGGAGAACACCCCGTTGAAAGGCCAAGGAGAGGGTCGGCTCCATAGCACAGGGTAACGCACTGCTCGGGAGAGTGCACGGTGAACACCGTCCCAAACCCCAGCCCGGACAGCCCGAAACACGCTAGGCCTGCGGGCTGCTGCGCTGAATCCAACGGGCTAGAGGACTGGAGGAAGGGGACCACAACGGGACCAGACCCTGCCCTGTGGAGGGCGTCCTCTCTCTGCCCTCGCCTCTGTCTCTCTCTCACTCTCAGGCGTGTGGACATAAGCTCTATCACGTATTAAGGAAAAAGTAAGTTAAAAAAAAAAAAGAAAGAAAGAAAAGGCCCAGGCGGTACTCACGCCAAGGTCTTGTGGTAGTCCACAGTGCTGGCCACCCCCAGGAACTTCTGCACGGTGTCCATCACCTTGGCGGGTTCCGTCCGCAGCAGTTTGCCATCCAAGACCAGAATCTGCACAGCAGAAAGACAACAGCGATCCGGGCCTGCTTCCTCCGGAGCCAACAGGCAGGAGCCACAGCAGCAGGAACGGGCCTGGCTACACCCGGGGCCCGGATCCGCTCTAGGCCCTGCTTCCTCCTCCAGCTGGCAGAGGCGGTATCCCCAGCCTCGGCTCCTGTGTCTGAGTCCCTGCTCTCCACCCACTCCCCCTGCCCAATGCTGCACTCTCCTAGAACCGATGCTATCACTAACGCCCTGCCCACCCCCATCCCGGCAACCTCCCTGTCTCTCTCCAAACTTCAAGCTCACATGCCACCCTCCTGCTCAAATCCTCCAAGGGTCTCCCTGCCAGGCCTCACATGATCTGGCCCATTGCCACCCCAGTAGCCAGGCTCTGCCCCATCACCACGCCCCAATCTCCTCTGTCCCAGCTGCCCACCCTGGGGTTTCCTGGGTCCTCTTAGCTCCAGCGCCTATTGTAAAGGGACGACGGCTCAGGTAGTTCTCACAAAGTGACCTTGGGGAAAATAGGACCAAAACCATTTTATAGACCCTCCTGTGAGGGCATTTCTCTTCCATGACTGGGAGAGAGATGCCAGGGCTCTCAGCTGGCTATGGCAGGCTGGCACTGCGCTCGCCCTCCCACCGGGGCAGGGACAGGCAACTACCTGGTTGGCGTGGAAGGCGCTGAGCCAGCGCTCGATGTGGGTGGCGTACCAGCCAGGGACCAGACAGCGATTCTGGAGAGTGCGCAGCTTTGAGGGCGCATCGGGGCCAGCCGTGATCACCTCGTGGAAGGTGTACTTGAGGGCCACAGGGTCGTCATGGGCTCGCTGGTGCTGCAGGCAAGGGGGCAGGTCAGCACGTCCCGTGGAAAGCACAAAGGAAGGGTCCTGGCCAGCAGTGGTGTGGAGGTGAAAGTGCTGGGTGCCAGACAGCCGACTGCATGGTTCAAGTCCCGGATCGAGCAGCTTGAAAACCACGCTGGGCATGTGTACAAGCCCTAAGTCCCGAGAGGAGGGGGACGGTAGGTGGTGGTGTGCTTAAGGCGCTGGACCCACATGGCCAACCATAACTGAATTCTCAGACTCAGTGGCTTGCGAATCAGGCTAGGCATGTGTGTATGCATGCCTAAAATCCCGAGAGATGAATGGAGAAGGGATTGTGGTGTGGTCATCCTTTCTGGGAGTGATTTTTCTTTCTGTCTCTGCCTCTCTCTAGGGAGCGCACATGCCCTATGGTAAACTTAAAACAAACACACAAACACAAAAACAAGAGCCCTTGATGGGACAGCAGCCCACGAGCTGGCCCAAAGATCCTGCACTGGAACCAGGTTCCTGTCCTGGCTCTGCCTCTCATTGCTGTTTGGCCTCAGGGAAGCCCCTAGCCTTGGTTCCTCAGTTTTCCCCATCTTTATAAGGCAGGCGTTAGACCAGCTTGGGGTTTCAGATGCTGAAACCATTCATACACCATCTCTGCAGTTCCTGCCGTATCCCAAACCCACCTGGACATGCCAAGGTAAAGGTAATTTTCTTTACATGGATTCCTCTTCCTTTTTATGCCTAAATTTATTTCAAAAGAAAATTCAACATCTCCTCCATGAATAGAAAAATAGAACCAGCTGTCACATGCAGGGGACAGCCGTTCATAAGTACAATCAAAATAGAGCCATGTTCTCCAACGCCAGACAGATACAAAGTCTGCGGTAACCCTGGGTCCAGGGCCCGTGCTCTCTTCACTGGAAACAACCCAGCAGGGCTGGGAGAGACGTAACGGCCACCTGCCCCAGGCTGAGCACTTCCTCTTTCTGGGGTGCAGTGCACTGGGAAAGCACCGCCAGGTCTGAACCACCTAAAACAACGCCACAGGTCACTGGCATCTGCAGAATTCCCTGAGTCTCATGCGTAGGGACCTGCCCCACCCAAGTGACAGTCTTACCAGTCCACCCCCGCCATGCAGGATCACACATGGCCCAGGGCAGGGGCTGCCAGGGCAGCGGGAATGCATGACAGCCTCCTCCTCACCCTGCCCTGGCTTCCAAGATTGGTCACCATCCTTCTTCTTCATCCACCACTTTCCGGGGCTCCTTGAGGGAGGGGAATGCGTCTCCCTTCTCCTGGTCTCCCTGACCCCACGGGCCATGAGCAGAAGAAAGAATGCGGTCTTCAGGTTCAAAGAACTGGATTCTCAGTGTGTAGTGAACTGGACCACAGTGCTGGAGCCATGTGGCTGACCCAGGGCTTGGGTCCCCAGGTATACCCATGGGTGCGCAAGGTCCCAGGGAGGTGAAGAGCTGGGTAAAGGGAATCGGAGCGTGACGAGCCCCTGTCTAGGGAGCTTTCTCCCTCCCCTCATTTCCTGTTTCTCACGCATGCACATGCTCTGTAGCATTAACAAAAATTGCTGCCAGGACCAGCAGATGGAGCAGCGGTTCCGTCGCTGGACTCCCACATGGCCAACCATGGTTAAAGTCCCAGGCCCTGTGGTCCGAGACTCACACCAGGTGTATGTGTGTGCCTAGAATCCCGGGAGGAGAACTGATGAGAAGGGACTGTGGTGTGGTCATCCCCCAAGAGGGTGATTTCTCACTTTCCACTTTCATTGTCTCTGTATCTCTTTCTCTAGCAGGCACACATGCTCTAAGGCAAAAATCTCTACACCACACACACACACACACAATGCCACCACTCAAGATCTTGGTCTTCTTTCTTGGTCTTTTTTTTTTTTTTTTTTTTTTTTAAATTTTTTTGGAGAGGTTTTTGCTATAGGGCATGTGCACTTGCCAGAAAGACAGAGAGAGACAGAGAGACAGAAAGCGAGAAATCACCCCAGGGGGGATGGCCACGCCGCAATCCCTTTTCCTCCATTCTCCTCTTGGAATCTTGGGCATGCACACACACGCGCCCAGCGTGAGTTTAAGCCGCCGGGTCTGGGACTTGAACTGCGGTCGACTACATGGGAGTCCAGCGACATAGCCATTACGCTAACTGCTGGCTCTTGGTTTTCTTGGGGACCAGCAGATGGTGTAGCAGTTATGCCACTGGACTCCCACATGGCCCACCATGGTTTGAAAATCATGCCAGGTGCATGTGCATGCGTGCCCAAGATCCCAGGAGAATGGAGGAGAAGGGATTGTGGCATGGCCGTCCCCCCTGGCGGGTGATTTCTCACTTTCTCTTTCATTGTCTGTCTCGCTCTACCAGGCACATGTACCCAAAGGCAAAAATCTCCAAAAAAAAAAAAAAAGCCGTCATTCAAGCCCTTGGTTTTCTTACCTGTGAGATGGGAACACACACACAAACCCTCCTCGGCTTCTGCAAAAGTGCTGCAACACTCCAGGGAGGTGGCAGGGGTAGGACATGGCCCTTGTACTGGGCAGGGGCCACTCAACTATGACGGGTTCCTCCACATCCACATCCCTGTGCTTTCCCGCAACAGCAGAGAGTGGCTTTCTGCTCCTGCCAGCACAGGGTGTGCAGTGGAAGCGAGAAGGTGCCTGTGAGCACTTCTAGTTGTTTCTCCTGAAGACAGAGCCGGGGGCCAGCAGGTGACATCGTGGTTAAGGTGCTGGGGCCCCCATGGCTGACTGTCTGGTTCAAGTTCTGGACCTGGTGACTTGAAAAACATACCAGGTGTATGTGCGTGCATGCCCAAAATCTGAGGAGGAAAATGGAGAAGGGTTTGTGGCATAGCCATCCCCACTGGGGGTGTGTGTGTGTGATTTCACACTTCCTCTTTCTCTCTCTCTCTCTCTCTCTCTCTCTCTCTCTAGCGAGTGCACATGCCTTATAGCAAAACAGGGAGGAAAAAGTCCACAGGAAGTGTGTGTACCAGGAGCTATCAAAAGCGGTCAGACCTGAGGAGGCCCTCCTTCCAGGGCGTGGACACCAAGCACAGTCCCACCAACTGGGGTAGGAGTATGGGCTCCTGACTCTCCTGACTCTGAACTTAGCAGTACAGCATGGTACCAAGAAGACTGGCCAACAGTGAGAGACTCACCCACCCCAATGGCCCTCTCCCCCACCACACAGCCTGAGTGGGCTTCTGTGAGGCCAGTGGCTCGGAATTCGGAAGAAATTATGTCAGATCCGAGAAATGAAAGGAAGGTCTGGTCTTACTGTCCTCAGGCAGGAACAGGGACTCACACCCTGTCTACCATGTACCATGGTCTGGGTGACTACCTCACCTAGACCAGGGTGTGCACCCTCCAAGAATGGCAATCATGTCTCGTCCATCTCTGACTTCCATCCACCCTACCCGTGTGCAGCCAGGACGCCAGGCAGTGTGAGCCCAGACCACTGTTCTCCAAGGCTTCCTCCAGGTCTCAGCAGCCTCCACCTCCTGTGGGTGTCAGCACAGGGCAGGACCCCTGGATGGGCGGTCTGGCAGGTCTCATGCTGGGCCAAGGAGCCAGGCCCCTGTCTGTACCCACCAGCACCTCCCAGATCCTTGCTGGCGGTCACACAGAGTGTGTGATCAATGTGCTGAGGGTGTGAGTGCCTGAATGTCAGACAGCCCCGGGCCCCGCCCAGGGACCCAGGCCCCGCCCCGCTCACCTGGTACCAGGAGTAGGCCCGGTCTGCTGGGTTGATCAGGATGGTCAGGATCTTGGCCTTGGGCAACAGGGCGGCTGCCCGTCGAGGCGCCACTTCTGAATCAAAGTAGTTGGCGCTTTTCTCAAAGTAGAAGTCAGAGGTGGTGTTGGAGGGGATGGGGAAGAACTCCATGTACCTACAGGAAGCCCAGAGAGGGAGCTCACAGGCAGGAGTCCGGAGGAAGGGCCTAAGGGGCATGTCAGGCGAAGCTGAGGGCCGCTGGGGGAGAGCGTCCTCAGAAAGCAGGCAGGGCACGCGGCTTCCCACCAAACAGGGACGCACTCTGCAGGGGACTCTAGAGTTTCAAATTTGTTCCTTTTCTGGAGAGATGGGGGGCCAGGAGGGTAGGGAGGCTGGTCTGTTGTCGGCAGCAGGGCACGGGGAGAAGGTGGTGTCTTTCCATCTGAACTCTGGTTTTCCTCTCTGGGGATTCCCCCACGGCTAAACTGCGAAACTGACAGGGCCCACCTCTCTGCCTCTAGGGGGCGAGCCAGGCTCAGAGTGGCTCCACCACTGACCCAGGGGGACCTCTGCAGAGGGAAGGGACACCATCTTCTGTCTCCAGAGGGCAGAGCTCCGTCCTGACCTGGGATGGCAGTTTCTAGGCAATCCTACGGACCAGCAGATGGCGGGGACAGGCAGGGAGAGGCAGGGAGGAGAGGGTGGTGGGGGCAACAGGAGGGCCCCTTTCTGCCACCCATCCCCCTTTCCAGCCTGCTGTGGGTGAGTACAGCTTTATGGACTAATATCTCACACTCCCCGACCCTTAGAGTGACAACCACCTCTGGACTAAGGACCCTTCTGAAAACTAAACACTCCAGACCTTCTCAGAAGCACCTGTTCATGCAGAATTAGGTGTAACTTCAGGGATTCGTGGACCGCAACGCCCTCCTTAATTAAGGGTGTAGGGTCTCTACTCCAGGCTGTGACAAAGGGTCTCTCCAGGTGGCCCCAAGGACCTCCTTCATCAGAATCACTTAGAGGCTTGTGAGATTCCTGTGGCCCACCTCGGACCTACCTAACAAGCCCAAACCCTGGGGGATGAGGCTGGGAGTTTCACTCTCTCATGGCTCTGAACTTTCTTTGTACGTCCACAAGCCTTCATTTGTGATATCAAAATTAAAACGCTTCCAAAACAGAAGCTTTGTTTCCCGCTTCGTAGCAAAACCATTTGGCACCAAAACAACTTACTAATCTCACGTAGTGTAAATATTCACATAACTCTGCTACAGATATATTAACATACTTGCCAACAGGGCATGGCCTGCACAGTTTCACAACATGCTACCTTTCTAAAACCCCAAAACAAAATGTTGGCTTTCAATAACATATCTGATAAAAAAAAAATTTTTTTTTTTTGAGAGGTTTTTGCTATAGGGCGTGTGCGCTTGCCAGAAAGACAGAGAGACAGAAAGTGAGAAATCACCCCCCAGGGGGGATGGCCACGCCACAATCCCTTCTCCTCCATTCTCCTCTCAGGATCTTGGGCACGCACACACATATGCTGGGCATGATTTTAAGCCACCAGGTCCGGGACTCGAACTGCAGTCGACTACATGTAAGTCCAGTGACACAGCCATTATACCAACTGTTGGTCCCATAAAATAAAAAAAAATTTAAAAATACATCTGGCCACAAAAGGTTTTAGATAAGAGATTATGGACATGTTAGAGACAGAGAGATGGGTAAACAGACAAATACACCCACAAGCAGGTGGACAGACTAACAGAGAGATGATAGACAGATAAGAGAGAGAAATACACAGAAAAATACCAAAAAACAAACAGGAGACCCATAATCTCTGCACCCAAGAAACCCATTGACATTAAAATACCAAGTAATGGTAATATTTATATAAGGCCTAGAAAAGTAAACAGTAGAGAAAAATACAAATTAAGAAATCAGAGCGTGAAACCACCCCAGGGCTGGAGACTCCACCCACATGCTCACATTTATATATACCCTTAAAATAACCTCTGTTGACAGGTTCTGGTAACCGCCTCCCCAAGGGACACCTTGAAGGCTAGCAAGTGGCCTCAAGAACACCCTCTGCTCCAGTCAGCCAACACAGTGGGAGGGGCCGGGTCTTGAGTGACAACATTTGGATTTTAGCCCCTGCTCTGTCCCCAGCAGAACTTTTGGGAGTTGGGCAAGTGCCTCTTCTCCAGGACATGGGATGTTTCTATGTAGGCAAGGGAGGGGCTAGACTCAGACTTCAGCAGTCCCTGACTGCAGGCGATAACGCCAAGGGGCAAAGGGTTTCCTCATCGAGCGTCCTGTCTGTGACAGTGCTCTCACACATGGCTCAGGGGTCACGGTGCTCTGTCCCGGTTGACATGAACTTCAGCTGCGGGTGAGCAAGCACCAGCTGCTTCCTGCTGTGGCCACGGCAGACCTCCCGTGTAAGCTCCATGATGGCCTTCCTGTCCTGCAGTGCACGGAAAGGCCCACTCACCAGTCAATGCCTTTGTGATAGTTGTGGCCATTAAAAAACTGGATCTCCTCAAAGGTTTCCGAGCTGGGGTAGTTGCTGCTTAGGTCCGGGTGCATGCCCAGGAACAGGTAGAGGGCCGTGGTACCTGCAAGGAAGGGAGGCAACTGAGACCCAGGCCCAGGCCCAGCAAATAGACAAAGCCTGAGTTCTAGGTTCAGCTCTCCATCACCTGCTGAGATCCAGGTCTGAGTCTCCTCATCTGGATGTGCAATGAAGAAACTGTACTAAATCTAGGATGGCAGGTTTGTGGCATGCACATGGAACCTACCACTCCTGTGTCCTCTGCAGACATCACTAATTCATCATTCCAGGATGGCAGGTTTGTGGCATGCACATGGACCCCACCACTCCTGTGTCCTCTGCAGACATCACTAATTCATCATGCTTCATCACTACACAAGACTTGGCCTCAGACTCCTTCTCACCACAGCATGCCATGCTCAATGGATTGCTGTCTCCTCAGAATCCCAGAACTGGATGCCTTTTGCTGGTCCTTCCCAGCTGTGGGCCTCTTTTCCATCTGGCACTGGGAGGAGCTCAGCGAAAGTGGAGCTTCTGAACCCCTGGTTCTGGTAATGTGAAATCCTCACTGCGATGTCTCCTCGTCCACAGTCCATTCCTCACTCACACCCCCTCCTCCTCCTTAGGCAATTCATTCATTCCTTATGGTGTGAATCTATGGTTTCTATGTTATAACCAGAGGGCCCAAGAGAAGGAGGCTGTAGACTTTGGTAATTAGGAGTATAAACTTTGGGGTTACAAAGACCTGGGTTCAAGACCTGAAACTGCCATTACTTAACTGAATGAGTTAAGGGAAGCCACTTAACTTCTCCGAGATTCAAGTTTCCTGTCTGAAAAATGGGTCATGGATGGCAAATGCTTAGCAGTTACATCACTTCCTCTTCCACCTGTACCTCTGGCAGACATGACTAGTTGATTCAGTCCTCTTTGCACTGAACCAGTTTTGCCTGGCGCTGCTCAAACATGCAGAGCAGCTGATCTGGGCTTCTCTGCCTAGACTCAAGAGACACTTGGGGAGATGCAAGGAATGCTCCCTGAACTGTGATTCAGGGCAAATAGGAGAACTGCATGCCCATCCCTCACCCCCTTCCCGCCTCCATACTGTGTGGTTATTCAGGTTTACCCCAACTCCAGTCCCACTTCCTGAGAAAGAAGGGACAAGTTATTGGGTAGGGCCCAGGGTAAGGCAGTCCCCCAAATTCCGCAGCTGCAATGACAGGCAGCGGGGGATGCTGGCTCAGAGTGGAGAGACCTGCCTGTTTTCTGGGGGCCGATGATGAGGAGCTTTGGAAAGCGGTCGCACGTCTTTTCCTTGGACCAGATGTCTTTGTGACGTTTGTCCTCGCAGGGGTCCTAAAAGAAGAGTGGAAGGAGTGTGAGGGGGAGCCCCAAACCCGGCGAGTGCACGTGAGCATGTGGCTCTCACGGTCCTCACTGACAGGCACAATACCCTCAGGTGTCCCTGCCACATCTCCACCTCCAGAACTCATGCTGCTGACTGGGTCGCCTCACCCACCCAACATGCCTGGCAGAATGTCCGGCTCTGGGCCTGGTGCATGATAGAAGCTCACAGGTACTTGCTGAATGTAACTGGACGAACTGTGTCTGAACCAGGGATCAGCAAACTTTTCCTAGCTTAGTAGATCTTCGGTAAATGTTTGGTAAATATTTGGGGCTTCGGTTAATATCTGGTTTCTACTGTAACCACTCAGCTCTGCTGCTGCAGCGTGGAAACAGCCACAGGCAGTGCCCGCGAGGGTGCGTGTGGCTGTGTTCCAGTAAAACTTCATTTACGACAACAGACCACAGGTTAAATCTGGCCCACGAGTCCTGGTTTATGGACCCCTGCTCTAATGGAGACTGATGCCAATTCTAGCTTGTGTCTCCAGTTTCTCACAGTCCTCAGGCAGAGACTTTCCCAAGAACCGCCCCTACTGAAACCTTGCCATTGGCCCTTCCAATGGCTCAGGGCCTGCTGGAGTTAGAAGGGATGGAGATTATCTAAGAGTCTAATCGAGGCAGGACAGTTGCTTTCTATACTTCATCTACACCATGTTCACGCAGCTGGGTTTTTTGGTTTCATTTTTGTTTGTTTTTATGATAGAGAAAGACAGGAAATTTTAACGGGGTCTTGCTGTTCCAGTCCTCCGTCTGGCCTTCCAGTTAGCGAGGATCACAGGTGCGTGCTACTGCAACCACCTGCTCAGGTCGTTCTGGGACCTGGACCCTGGTCTTCCGTGTGGCAGCCAGTCTCACACGACAGTGTCCTACTGCTTGCACCTCAGTGGCTGAGTCTCACTGCTTTTTCCAAGGCTGCATTTGATTATGTATGCAAGATGGTCTGTGGAAAGGTGTATACATGTGTGTCCATGTGTGCATATGTATGCATGCTGCTGACGAGCAGACATGCACCCGAGTTTAGATCCCTGAGAGCATGAGGGCACGAGGACCAAGCCTTGAGCCCCTGTCCGAAGCATGTGCCTGTGGGCGGTGGGCATCCCACCCCTGCGACAGGAGCCCAGGCTGCCCTGCCCCACCTGCCAAAGTGGGTCCTTCTCCTCAGAGAAGATCTGGAAGTACTTCTGGGCCAGCTGCACAGGGGGCAGCGTCTGCAGCCGCAAGTTCGTCCAGGAGTGCAGGAAGCGCACCAGGTGCTTGAAGGTGTACAGGCCCAGGCGGTCGTTCCCGTAGTTGGACAGGTGCGTCATGAAGATGCTGATCTGCTCCAGGAGAGGGGAGAGAGGCAGCCCACGTCAGCGTCCGAGCCGCCCTCACCCCCACCTCTGAGCTCCTGACCTGCCTTGGCTTGCAGGGCTTCCTAGTGACCAGTTCTGGGTACACTGGGATACCAACAAACACACCGTGTGACCTTGGGGTAGACATAGCCAGGTGCGAACCCAGGTCTGACTGACCCCCAAATATCATAACCCTGAAATGGGAAGAGTAACTGGTACAGGATTATTTGTTGTTTTGCTTGTAAATTCTGGAAGGCAGGGATGCATGGAAGAGTACTCAGCCCACAAAGCTGAACCACCACCAGTACTTGATGTTTAAACACTATGAAAGGATTGATGATTCCTTCCATTATATAACTAAGAAAAAAGAGGTTAAGACAGCTTAAATAAAAAGTAATATAAAATATATACATATTCTGGAACTAGCCGGTAGCATGGTGGTTAAGGTAGCGGGATCCTACATAGCTGACTATACAGTTTGAGGCCTAGACCCAGCAGTTTGAAAAACACTGGGCACATGTGGGTACAAGCCCAAAATCCCAAGAGGAGAATGGAGGAGAAGGGACTTCAGTGGGTGCTTCTCACTTTCCCTCTCTCTATTTCTGATGAATGCCCTATAGCAAATTTTTAAAAATAAATAAATAAATATAGATTTTATATATATATATGTGTGTGTGTGTGTGTATATATTCATATACATACGTGTGTGTGCACACAAAAAAAGACTAAGAAAAAGACGAGTAACACTTCTGTATTAAGTTCATGATTATGAAAGGCAAAAAAGGAAAGCTCAGATTCTTTAGCCAAAGTCGCACGCCAGAGGAGGTACAGAGCCAGGGCTAGAAGGTGGGTCCCCCAGCATCCAGGCCCTTGCTCCCACCCCGGCGCCTTCTCCCAGTCCCGGAAGCCTGCCTGGCTGCAGGTGGGCTGTCCAGCAGGCCCTGCTCACCACCAGCAGCGCGCTGTGGAGCACTCACAGGATTGAGGAGCACAGTGAGGAAGAGCTCGCCTCCATTGATGATCTTGTCCAGCTCGCTGGAGCCGCCGGGGTACTCGTTGTAGAAGATGGTGTGTGTGAAGAGACCACAGGTCTGCCGCGGGAGGACCTGGGAGGGGGTAGGGCAGAGAAGCCATGGTGTCTCCAGGCACGAGTTGTGGTGAAAGATCCTTCCTCAGGAGAAGGGCCAGGGTGTCCCCTCAGAAAAGCAGCCTCCTACGGCCACACGGCTTCCTCCTCCCTGGGTGTGTTCACCCCCAAAGACTGACATTCCCCCAAGTGAGTATTTGTGAGGACTTCACAAATACTTCACTGCTATCCTCTGCACTAAGGGGCCAGGCCCAAAAGTCAGAGGGAGAATGTGCCTGGAAACGTGGGCTGTCTGCAGTGAGAGCCCTGCCCTCCATCGAGCCACGCCCTGGCTCACGCCGCGAGCCCCGTAGCTACACCAGGACCTCATTTGGGGGCGTTGTGGCCATGCACTGGCTCAGCCACTGATGGCTGTCTCCCATCATGAACTGTGGCTCCAGGATAGCAGGGAACATGCCTGTCTGGTCACAGCGTCATCTCCAGAGTTAATACGAGTGCCTCGTGCTGAGGAGACGAGGGGATGGACGGATGGACAGACGGACGGATGGACAGACATAGGGACTAATGCACAAAACTCGGCTTCCCACAGCTGCCTCATCTTGACTGAGGACAACTAATCCTTCCAGTGTCCCAGGCCAAAAATCTTGGAGCCATTTTTGACCCCTCTCTTTCTCCCACACCCCACATCCAACTCGTCAGCAGGTCCTGTTGGCTCTAATGTCTAAAAAGTTCAGAATATCCCAACATTGCACCCTGGCCCAAGTCACCACCATCTCTCATGTAAAGCTGCGGTGTCCTCCTAATGGGTCTCCCTGCTTCCACTCTGTCCACTGTGTCCTCCACTCCACACAATGGCCAGAATGCGGGAAATCCTTTTAAACTATGAGTCAGGTCACGCTCCATTCAAAACCTTCTTACTTCAGGCTAGTAGCTGAAGTCGACCTCATGGCTGGCCTTGCACGGCCTCATGTGACCTGGCCCATGCCCCCCCCGCCCCCCGACTTCATCCACCATCTGCCTCTTGCTTGTTCCCCGCCGGTCATACTGGCCTTCCAGTTGGTCCCAAACACACCAGCACAAGCCTGCCTCAGCGCCTTTGCACCTGCAGCTGTCTCTGCCTTCAATGTTCTTCCTCAGAGCAGCATGGTGAGTGAGGCTCTCCCATGCCACCTTATTTAGAGTAGTTTCTCTTCTCTCTCCACCACTCAGACACACTCCCCGTCTCCCTTCCCTGCTTGATTCTGATCCACACACTTGCCAAACTCTGACCCTGTATGTTTATACACTCGTGAACACACTGTCTCCTAACATCCTAGCAGCAGGCCTATGGGACAGGGCTTTCCTGGGTTTGTGCACTTCTGTGTCCCTGATGACTGTAAAAGGGACAGACAAACAGAAGCTTAAGAAAAACAGAGACCTATCCCGTGTTCTCCTCAGGACTCCCTTTAAAGAAGGCTCACCCTCTGGTCCTCTCCTCTCCACAGAGCTGAGGAGGAAGGAGCCAGACTGGCAGCATCTGCCCTGGGACTGAGAGCCTCAGATGGGCCGGCCGAACCCGCCCACTGCCCACAGCCACACCTCCAGGACAGCATGTGCACATACACCACGACAGGCTGTGCCATGCCCACCCCCCGGGCTGCCAGGCCCGCCTACCATGATGCCATTGTGGATGAAGCCGCGGCGGTAGCGGGCCGGCTTCAGGTGGGGGTACTCCTCAGTGCTGGTCACACGGATGCTCCACACCTGCTTCCAGGCCTCATACAGCTGCACGTGCACGGGGTACACGCCCGAGTGGTGGGGTGCCACCGCATACCCCATGTCCGTGGGGATGCCGTGCTCCTGGAGAGAGGACGACCAGGGTGGGGTGAGCGTGGCGTGCTTCCCCTTGGGCCTATTCCCCCTTTGCAGGATGGGAGGGAATCAGAGGCTGGGATGGCTGAGCAGCTGGTCCAAGACCTCATGGTGCAGATAGTGATGCTAGGGCCCAGGAGGGAAAGCGCCATGCCCAGGATCCCAAGAGTGACTAGCAGAGCAGGGGCTAGAACCCAGGTCTACTGACTCTCAGCTCAGAGCACATGCCCTCCTGCACAGAGAACTCAAACACCCCATGGTGAGGAACAAGGACTGTCGGTCTTCTCTCACCTCTCGTTGGCTGGTAGACCCAAGCTAGGCGCCTAGCACCCTGAACTCATTCCTCCCCACTGGGCACCTCTTCCAGCTCCGAGGCCGACCCTACCCTGAAGGTCAGAGCTCAGGCTCAGGAAAGCAGCAGACCTGGGTGTGATTTCTGGCTAGATCTCTGAGTAGCTGCTGTGACCTCCCTGAGCCTCAGTTTTTTGTTGGTCAAGAGGAGTTCTTTTCTCAAGGCTTCAAGGAGACAGCTGCACCCCACCCCAGCCCTGGCACAGAGGTGTTAGTAAAACTGTCAGACCAACTGCAGAAGCAGCGAGGGGCCAGCCGTGCGGACCCCAAGCCCAGCCCCAAGCCCCCGGCTCTGCCCTGGAGGGAATCTTACTCACGACAGCGAACTTCTTGTTCAGGGCCATCTGCTCGGCCAGCACCGACTGATTGTGGAACAGATGGGGCTGCATGTGGCTCCACATGTGGGGGAACCACCAGAACTCCTTCACGTACGACAGCAGCAGGTCGTCCCCTGCGTCCTCAGCATCCGTACCTGTGGACCCAACATAGGTAGCTCAGCTGGGCCCTCCCACCTGGGCCCTACTGGGTGGGGAGCCCACAGCACAGGCCCTCTGGAAGCTACCTGGACCGTGTCTGAGCTACAGTGAGGGAGCATATGTAGCCCCCAGCTGGGTCCCTGGACTCCTGCCCACGCCCACCCTGACTCAGGGTGACCTTGGCCAAGACCTTTGCCTTCTCTGGGCCCTGAAACCACATCTGTGCAACTCAGGGTTTGGAGTCAATCCTCTCAGGGGTTCCCTGCCCCGCTGAGGTGCCTGCTCTGAGCCTGCTCCAGGAACCCACACTGGGTTGCTTGTCTCCTGCTGCTGCCCGGAAGACCCTATGAGTCACCATGACCACCTCAGCCATGCTAAGGTCAGAACATAAGCATGCAGAGATGACCAGGACCACTTCTCGCCAGCTTTGGGGCCATGCTGCACATTCTCCCTCCGCCCCCGAGTTGTTTACTAATATGACTTTGCCCAGAATTCAAGAGAGGCTATTCTTGGGGCCAGCAGGTGGCATGGCAGTTAAGGTGCTAGACTCCTACACGGCCGACCGTGGCTTGAGTGGCTTGCGTCCAGGACCTGTGACTTGAAAAGCATGCCCGGTGCCTGTGTGTGTGTTTGCCCCAAATCCCAGGGAGAGTGGAGGAGAAAAGACTGCAGCATTGCCATTCTCCCTACCCCAGGGGGATTTCTCACTTTCCCTCTTAACTCTCTGGCAAGCACACATGCCCTATAGCAAAAACTTAAAGTCGATTCTCCAAGAAGCCCAAGCAGGAAACAGCCAGGGGGAATGCTCACTGCAGATGACCAGCTTTGGGTTGCCCCCTCCTGCCCAGTCCCTGAAGGGCAGCCAAAGAGGAGAAAAGACATGAAGTTAGCTACCTGCAGCCTTCCACCTCAACCCTAACCACTCTGAGTTCAGGACACCAGCTATCCTGGGATGGACACGATGACGGGCACTTTCACTTTCTGTGCTATGTACTTCCATAACATCCTTTAATCCAGCCAGTTTCTTTTAAAAGTAGAAATAATACTAACAATATTAAAAGATGGGGGGAAAGGGAGACCAGAGGAGAAGATGACCTCCAGAAGAGTACAGCTGAGAGGCCAGGGAGGGACAATAGGAACCACTGCAGACGGTCTCTGCCAGTGGCTGCAGGTGCTCTCGTGGGCTGTTGGCTCTGGAGGAGGCCAGAGGGGTCCAATGGTCCCCCAGCAGGGGCTGGCAGGCCCACCTGCTGCCCTTGTGGCACAGTGCTCCAAGGGCTGGGTGTTAGGAACCCCCGAAAGTTGCCGATGAGGACAGAGGCAGGCCCACTTACCTGTGTGGAAGAACTTCCCTGAGTAGCCCAGGTTGAAGGTGAAGTTTGGGATGTGTGTGCGCAGTTCGTTCTGTGTATCAAACAGGGCCTAGGGCAGGCAGAGAGAGGGGCAGGAGTGAGGGAAGCCTGGACTCTCTGCTCCTCCCACTGAGAATCTGAGAAGTGTCCTGCTGCTGCAGGACTAGCTGCAAAGTCTGCTGGACCCAGTGAAAAGACAAAATGTAACATCCTTTTTCAAAACCTACAAAGGACATGCAGAAAGCAATCGTGGAGCATTGAACCACATCTGGGCCCTCCTGGACTTAGACTGAACTGTGACTGCATAGGGCAGATACCTGTGAGGCCACTGGCAAGAGAAGGCCTGGACTCCTGCTGAGTCTTTGAGAAAGCTTTGTAACTTTCTAGGTTTTGGTTTCCTGACCTGTAAAATGGGAACTACGGCTCCCTCCTGGGGCTCCTGGGAGAATTAAATGAGATGCAGCTTGTAGAATGGTCTGACAGCTGATGAGTGATGGAAAATGCTGGCCACTGCTACTGTGAGCCTCACCCACTTCTGTCAGATGGGGGCGATTTCTCCTCGATGGTGAAACACAAGGCTGATGTCCAAGGACCGTGACTTTTCCAAAGCCATCCTGGGGCTGGCAATGCAATTTCCCTTGCATGACACACCCAGCACTTTGCAAGTCAATGAAGGGATGTTGACACTCGGAAACAAAAGTACAGTTGTACTCTGGGGTTAGGACTGCATGACTCACAAGGCAGCTGGAAACCTGCAAGGACTGCTATCAGGGCACTTTGCAAACGAGAAGTCCTGGCCCTCTCTGCTACCAGTAATGCTGTCACCACTGGCAACTTATCAAGGCCATGCACTGCGTGATGGACATGCATGCCCCAGCTATGTGGCCTCGGGCAAGTTGCTTCATGTCTCTGAGCCTCTGTAAGGCGGGACAATACCCAGTTCTCAGAGCTGCTGAGAGGATCAAATGAGGCAACAGAGGGCTGAGCACAGAGCCTGGCACGCACCAAGCCCTGAGTAAGTGGCTGCTGCCACTGGTATGATTTAAATTGCTCTGTACAGCCAGTACTGTACAAGTTAATGAGGCGGCATTCATGTTTCTGAAAGAAGGGCTCAGCTGTAGCCTGAGCTTGGGATTAAAGAGGAAAAAGCATAGCCTTTCTGACTCCCAAGGATGTTCAAGGCAAATGAGACCCCAGAAGGTTTTGTAGTAAGCACTGAACCAAGCACATACGGGGTCTCCTCAATTTGTATTCTTCTAGAAAAGTGGCTCCAAACTGCTATCATTCCTGTCACTTTAAAAATGGGGAAAAGGGGGGCCAGCAGGTGGTACGCTGGACTCCCACATGGCCCACCGTGGTCCAAGCCAGACCTAGAGGCTTGAAAATCACACCAGGCACACATGCATGCGTGTCCAAAGTCCTGAGAGGAGAATGGAGAAGACACTGCAGCGTGGCCATCCTCCTGAGGGAGGGGGGAGTGATTTCTCACTTTCCTTTTCCATTCTCTCTGACTGCACACAAACCCTCAGGAAAATTATAAAAGAAATCAAAGAGGGCAATCCAGGGTTCATGGGGGCACAAAGAGCCTGGCAGCTTAATCTCCGCATGGGGTCAACCATGGACCACAAGTCCCACCAGGACTGCCTGGCCAGGCAGCAAGGGTCTAGGCTGGAGCAGGAGAGAACAGGGTGGGTCACTGGAACTGTCCTAAGTAGAAAACAGAGGTCTGTGCTCTGCGAGGGACAAGTCGTAGCATTGCATAAAATGCTCAGAGGCTCGACAGGGATCATCTTAAAATTGTCTTTCAAGGCTGGCACTATAGAACAGTGGTTAAGCCTGTGAATAGGGAACTGGATCCCACAAGGCTGACTTCTGTTCAAATCCTAGCTCCAGCTGCTTGAAAAACACAGTGGGCTCAGGTGCATGCATGTCCAAAATGTTGATGGGCTAGAGAAATGGACAAGAAAGGATGAGCATACCCCACCACGGGGGGAGGGGTGCTTTCTCTCTATCAGCCATCTATCTGTTTCTCTGACCCTGGTTAGCACAGGAACCCTCTGGCAAAAACAAACAAACAAACAAACGGAAACAAACCTTAACAAGACAGCCCTTGAGAAAATAACATTTCAGGAGAAAACACAGTGTGGCAAAGCAGATCAAGGTGAACTAGCCCGGTGGTATGGAGGTCACAGCGGCTGGATCCTACATGGCTGACTCTGCAGTTTGAGTCCTAGACCTGGTGGCTTGAAAATCGTACCAGGTATATGTGCGTTTGTGCTCAAAATCCCAAGAGGAGAATGAAGGAGAAGGGATTGCAGCACAGCTATCCCCTGGTGGGTGATTTCCTACTTTCCTTCTCTCTCTGGTCAGTGCATGTGTTCTATACCAAAAACTTAAAAAAAAAAAAGCAGATGAGGGAGCCAGACGATGGTGCAGCATTAACACAACACTCTACAATGCTAAACTGCACATGGGAAGGTCATGGGTTTACCCCGGGACCTCCTGTGCATGCTAGGCATATGCACACACGTGCCCATGATCCAGACCGGCTGGTGCTGGGTATGAAGACTCTGTTCGGGTTACCTGTCTACCTCTCTCCCTTTCTTCCTCATAGAGGAGATGAATACACTTAGAAAAAGAAAAACAGATAAAAGGAACACTGCCTTGTCCAACTGAGGTGGAAGCCTGGAGGGCAGAGCCTGGTTGATCTGAACACATGGCTCACTCTTACCCCAGCTATCTAGGCACCTCGTGAAACAGTCAGAAATTTCCCATCCATGTCAGCTCCTCTTCTTTTTGTTTGTTTGGTTTTTTTTGGAGAGGTTTTTGTTATAGGGAGCATGCGCTCGCAGAAAGACAGAGACAGAGAGCTAGAAAGCAAGAAATCACGCTCCAAAACCTAAATCTAAAACAAACCCTAATCTTACACCCAAACCCTAACCCAAAACCTAACCTAACCCTAACCTGAACTCAAACCCAAGACCTAACCATAACCCTAATCCTACATCCTAACCCTAATCTCAACCCTAACCTAACCCTGAATCTCAATCAACCCTAACACTAAAACTACATCAACCCTAACCCTAATCTTACACCCAAAACCTAACCCCAAACCTAACCTAACCCTTACCCTAACTCAAACCCTAGACCTAACTTGAACTCTAATCCTATACCCTAACTCTAACCTAACCCTGAATCTAACTCAAACTCTAACACTAAACCTAAATCTAACCCTAACCCTAATCTAACACCCTAAACCTAACCCAAACCCTAATTCATACCCTAGACCTACCCCTAACCCTAATCTGAAACCCTAACCCTAACACCAATCGTGATGTAGCCCTGAGTCTAACTCAAACCCTAACACTAAACCTAAATCTAACCCTATCCCCAAACCTAACCTAACCCTAATCCTAACTCAAACCCTAGACCTAACCCCTAACCCTACACCCTCACTCTAACCCCAACCCTAACCTAACCCAGACTCAAACTCAAACCCTAACACTAAACCTACATCTAACCCTTACCCTAATCTTATACCCTAACCCCAAACCTAACCTAACCCTAACTATAACTCAAACGTAGACCTAACCCTAACCCTAATCCTACACCCTAACCCTAACGCCAACCCTATCCTAACCCAGACTTTAACTCAAACCCTAACACTAAACCTAAATCTAACCCTAACCTTAATCTTATACCCTAAACCTATCCCCAAACCTAACCTAACCCTAACTCAAACACTAGACCTAACCGTAACCCTAACCCTAACCTTAACCTGATCCCTTCTCCATTCTCCTCTCGGGATCTTGGCCACTCATGCACACGTACCCGGCGTGAGTTTTACCCACCATGTCCGGAACTCGAACCATGGGCGGCTACATGGGAGTCCAGCAACATAGCCAGTATGCTAACTGCTGGTCCCAGCTCCTCTTTTTATAGTTGAGGCTCAGAGATGGTAAAGTATGTGCCCAGGTCACCTAGTCAGTCAATTAAGGTCAAACTGGAACCTGACTCATCTTCAGTTTTGACTCCCCTGACAGTGCCTGCCCCCATGGCCACCAACCATGTTCTCTGGAGAGTAAGGAAGAGAGTTCACTACTGACCAAGCAAGGGAATCAAACACCAGGACCTTCCTCCTTAGCCTGAGGGGCATCCCTCCCAGTGAATCCAGAGGGCTGACAAGGCACAATAAGCCAGAGTTACTCAGGAGCAAAGCATTCTTCTTGAAGTCTCTTTTTAAAGCCTCCTACCCACATCAAAGCGAAGCTCTGGTTTGGTGCTAATGTTTCTAACACTTGCTAATCTCCTGTGAGAGAGGATAGACGGTCAGCAGGCTGCAGTGTCTCTCCAGGATGTAATCCCCTGTTTTGTTTTCATTGGATTTATTGTTATGGTTGCCTTCTATTTATGGCACCCCGTGGTTGATTTCTCATTTACACTAGGGTATGGTCTCCTTTGCAAATAAGTTTAGGTAAAATAGTGACTAGATGAAAACTGTGTGTTAATGATTACTTCATGGTCTCGATTCAGTTCGTAGTTTTTCTTTCACAGGGGTAATTCACATGTGTGTAAAATGTTGTGGTTTGCAAAGTGCTTTCAAACAGTTTTGTTTGGTAAACACAATCTGAATTAAACGCATGCATTCCACGATCTGCATGTATCTCAGTTGAAATATGCCTTGTTAATGATTCAAGCTCTCATTCTTACTTTAAGAGTCTGGTAGATGCTCTTATATCAACATAAACATTTTTCCCCCTGTATAAGTTGGGAAAGAGAAGGGGGAAGGGAGAGAGAGAGCCAGAGAAACAGAGATAGGTGGTTTTGACAAGGTCTTGCTATGTCATGATCTTCCTGCCTGGCCTCCCAACCAACCATTGTTCCAACAGGTATAATCATGCTGGAATGCGAGGTTGGTCCAGAACTGAACCTGTGCCTCTCATGCACCTTCCAGCCTCTCAAGCAGTAGTAGCACCACCCATGGTAGGCTGGGCCTGACATAAACACTTTGTTTCAATTTTCTATAGGGCGTGTGAGCACACCAGAGAGAGACAGAGAATGAGAGAAAGTGACAAATCACTCCCCGGGAGGAATGGCCATGCCACAATCCCTTCTCCTCCATTCCCCTCTTGGGATTTTGGGACAGCGGGTTTTTCAAGCTGCCAGGTGTGGGACTCGAATTGCACAGTTGGTCATGTTGGATACAGCTGCCCTAATCACCATGCCACCAGCTAGCCCCAATTTTTCATTTTGTTTGTTTGTTTTGCTATAGTATACATGCATTTACCAGAGAAAGACAGAGACTGAGAAAGAGAGAGAGGGGAAGTGAGAAATCACTCCCCCGGTGGAGGGATGGCCACATTGCAATCCCTTCTCCTTCTTTCTCCTCTTGGGATTTTGGGTATGCACTCATACATGCCCTGTGTGTTTTTCAAGCTATGAGGTCTGGGACTTGAACCTTGCAGCTGGCCATGTGGGATCCAGCTGTCCTAACCAACGTGCCACAGGCTGGGACAACAGAAACCTCTTTAAGGGTGCAAAATCACACTTAGATTAAAAGGCAGATAAACACCACCCCGCAGCCCCCATCTCTGTGTTTTGGTCCTCTATCTTCAATATCTGAATAAAAATCTTACATGCCATTTACTTCTGCTAAGATAATTAATAAATGAACGGGCCGAGGTTGGGTGGGGGCTGTACTTTAAGTAAGTACCAGGCGGGGGAGATGCGCATAGGGCAGCACCCTGATGGGGCACGCGCGAGGCTGGACTTTGCGCAGCCCCTACTTCCGGTCCAACGCCCAGGCCATACCTTCACGTCCTCCACCTTCATGCGTGTGCCCTCCTTGCCCACGAAGATGTCATCGATGTCCACCAGGATATAGCGGTCCAAAGGCAGCGAGAGGCGCTTACCCGTGAGGAAGGCCACGGCGTCAACGAAAACGAGCTTGTGCAGCCAGAAGTTGAGGTTGTTGCCGAACAGCACGCGCTGGATGCCGTCGTGGAGGCCCAGGTCCTGCACCACGGTGGCGTGAAGCGCAGCGTGCAGGCCGGCGTCGGCCCCCAGGTGCGGGATGGTCTCCGACGAGCGCGTCTTGGCCAGCAGCACCGGCTCGTAGGTGGAGTGGTTCGACTGGAACACGGTCCAGTCCTCGCCGGGCAGCACGCCCTTTTCCACCTCGCTGGGCCGTGTCACATAGAGCAGCGGGGACTTGGGGTTGATGCTGCAGTCCTTCAGACCCAGGTTCGAGTGCAGGAACAGGGGGAAACCCTTGAGCTGTGCACTCAGCAGGCTGTTCTCATTGGCCTGCACCAGGGAGGGAGGCGAGGGGAAACAGCCATCAGATCCAGAACTGCAAGGGACATGGAATCTAGATGCAGACAAACAGCAGTAACATCGACAACACGGACCAGCATGTGTGGAGGGCTGCACGTCCCCTGCCACCACCACATGTGAGTGAACACAGATGACTGTAGGCCAGGTTCTGTGCACTTTGCATGCGAGAACATGTTAAATCTCCCAACGGTTTCATGACAGAGAAACTGCTATCATACCTCTTTTTGTTTTGTTTTGTTTTTAGAGCGAAATATTTGCTATAGGGCATGTGTGCTTGCCAGAGAGACAGACAGAGGCAGAGGATTATGAGAAATAACCCCCCAGGGAGGATGGCCACACTGCAATCCTTTCTTTTCTATTATTCTCTTGGGATTTGGGGCATACGCACATGTGCACCCAGAGTGAGTTTCAAGCTTCTTAATCTGGGACTTGAACTGTGGTCAGCCATCTGGGAGTCCAGCACCTTACCCACTACACCACCTGCTGGCCCTGTCACACTCATTTTTAGATAAGGAGATAGCCCAGGGGGTTTAATCACACAGGACGCAGTCTGGCAGATGAGTGCATGACTTCTATCATCAGACTGCCTGGCCTTGGGCTAGAGACGTCACCTCTGCTGTAAAACATGGCTGAGAAGAGTTGACACCTCCAGGGAGTGGAGGATGATCAGTGCTGTTGCTGGCACAGCTGGCAAAGCGCTCGGACTGGGCCTGCAGCATGATTCACTGCTCACATGGCCCTCACACCAGCCTTGTTTGTCCTCTTCACAGATGAGGAAACTGAGGCTTGGAGGGGACCACTGCCCTCAGTTGCCCAGTGGTCAGGAAGAGCCATGAGTTGCACCTAGGAGATCTGGCCCAGAAGCCTGCACCCACACCCAGCAGGCTCAGCTGTTTGGCGGTTCCCCATTGGGTTTGCCACACAATGCTTTCTTCAGGAAAAATCTCATGTGGATACCAATGTAGGAGACCAGAGAAGAGGGGCCTGAGGCTGAGGGAACAGATGCGCTGCCCCACAGCACTCCCACCTCCTCACAGGCCCCTAGCACCCCCGAAGCCACCCCCTCAAGGGAGCCGAGCTCTTGTGCCCGCCTGGTCGCTATTGGCAGTGGCAGGGTCTCTGCCTCCCTTCTCCTCCCACGGCCTGTGCTGCTCAGCTCCCTGGGGGTCTGCAGACAGGCTCGATAGTCCGCTATCTCCTTTTCCCTGGGCAAACAGCTCTGCCATGTCCCTCTTCCCCAGACACCTGCTTCTTGTTCCTATGACAGTTCTAGTCTGTCTTCTTGGCATAGCAAAGTCCTGCTCATCCTTCAAAACCCAGATATTCTCCCCTCCAACTGGCCTCCCTGGAACTACATTAGAGCTGCAGCTGTAGCACTTTGCACCCTAGCTGTGCAGTACCTGTCCAGGGACCCTCCCACCAGCCTACAACCCCCTGAGGGCAGGGGCCACGCTGTTTCCACCTTTGGATCCCTGGCACCCAGCACAGGCTTGACGCCCAGTGGAGGCACACATGCATGTGATAAGAAACTAGATTTCTAAATTGAATGCAAAGGAGCAGACAGCTCCCCAGGACCTGGCACGAGAGCTGGTCAGTAAGGCTTCCTTTGTTCATGTCACAATTGTTCACTGTACCAGGTGGTGCATAAAGTGCCAGGGAGAAAAAGACATGGCCCCTGCCCTCATGAACCTTAGAGTTGAGCAGGGAAGAGAGACAGCCATGGGGATACCATCAGGCCTCAGAGCAGTGCAGGCCACACAGAGGACGTTCCCGGTTGCAGAAGAGTGATTATGGGCAGTCAGCTGGCTCGGGAGGCTCCCGGACAAAGGGACTTTCAAGCTAACGTTTAGAGAATGAGCAGGCATGAACTAGGGAAGATAGGGCCGAGCTCCAAGAACAGCAGTGCAAAGGCCCTGAGGTAGGAGAGGGTTTGGCAGGGCAGAGAACAGCAAGGAGCCAGCAGAGTGATGGGAAGGGAGGAGATGAGGCGGAGGGTCAGGTAGGGCCAGACCTTCAGGGCCCTGGAGGCTTGAAATGGCAGCAGGAAGCCACCAAAGACTGCATCAGAGGATCTGCCGACATGGTGACAGGTTCCGATTTGCACTTTAAAAGACCCATGAAGCTGCGGTGTGGAAATGAGTGGGGTGGACGAAGGGCACAGATGTGTCTGGAAAGGAAGACAGGGCTGCACGTAGGGAGAGCTTCTCAGGGGAGCCCAGCACAGAGGGCAGCCGCTCAGCCGAGCCTGGCGCCCCAGCGCAGAGCTGCGGCCACTCACAAGGGTTCCTTTTACTCACCTCTCCTACACACGGCACTTTTTTCTAATCTTCACAAAGAGTCTGTAGGGCCTTGGCCTTGTAGACTGTGATAAGGAGCCTGCATCCAAACAGTCTCCAAACACTGCGAGGACCTGCCAAACCCCTGCCCTGTCCTGAGCCAGCCTCAGGTGTTGAGGCCCTGTGCCAAGCCCGACCCTGAGGTCACCTCCACCCGCCCCATTGCAGGCTCACCACACCTCTAAGCCAGCACTGGCCAAGGATGGAAGCTGTCTGTTGTCTGGCTACCTAGGGGAAAAGGCAGTGGAGGCCAGAGACATTTCAGGCCCATCCATCACCAGCTGTGGGCCGCAAAGCCACACTGAGGGGTGCTGAGGATCTCATTTCAAAGCCCCGACCCAGAGCTGACTGCCAGGTCCTGGCAGCTGCCCCAGCAGCCCAGCCATTAAGGAAGGGAGAAGGCCAACACGCCGCTGCCCTGCCCAGTCAGCACTGAAAGGAGGAGCCAGGGAAAGGCCGGAGAGCCTGGGCATCGCAGAGGCTGGCCTCGCTGCAGGCCTCACCTACTGGAAAGGAAATCCCTCCTGATCTTCAGCACTGAGGACTACCCCAGAACCCCCAGACCTTCCAGGGGGGTCACCCAGGCAGAAGAAGGAAGACACTGAGCTGGGAATGGGAAGGCAGAGGCCCAGTACACACACTTAACGATTAACTAGCTAGGTGACCTTGGGAACCCACGTCTCCTCTCTGGGCCTCGGGTGCCTCATCAGTCACTTGCTCTTGTGCGTCTCCTCTGATTGGGTCAGACGCAAGGAACTTGGCTTCAAAGCTCAGCTTTGTGGTTTACCAGCTATGGTTACTGTGACCACGCCATTTGACTTTTTGAGTCTAGGGTCTGTAACTGAAAATGAAGTTACAATTCACAGAGGAGCTGTGCGAATTAAATGTAACGCCTGAAGAGCAACGAGCTCAGTGTCTGGCACTTAATGACGGCCCGACGAGAGATTCGGTCGGCTTTGCCAGGATGTGTCCACCCCAGGACACCTGGAATGGCAAGGCTGAGGCACAGCAGACGAAGGTGACCCAATTCCCACCTGCCAGGACTGCACAGGGGTCTGCATCGGTCAGAGCCACAAGGCAGACAAAGTGTTCCACTGCTGTGTGCTGAGCTTGGAGATGACAAATCATGACAACTGCCACTTACTGAGTAGCTCCAGCTCCCAGGCACTGTGCTTGGTGCTGCCACCCATTGTCATGTTTAATCTTCAACAGAGTCCGATGAGGCAGGAGATCTAACTGGCTCGCTTTACCGATGGGGTGAGTATCCTGCCCAAGGCCACTGCGCTTCTAAGTAACAGGAAGAAGAACCGGGATCTGGACTGCTAGCTCTTGTACTGCCTTGGGAAGCCAGCATCAGTGGGAAAGGGGCAATGTGAGTCTCTGGATCCCTGGAGTCCACACTTGGGCTTGCCAAGCCCAATGCACAGTGCAGAAGCTGGCTTTGCAGAAAAAGCTGAAAATGCACCTTGACCGCCAGGGGGCGTGCATCTGAGCACAAAATCACAGGCCTCTGCTCTCACCAGGAAGGGGTCTTATAAAACTGGGGAGGAAGAGCAAGAAGACCCGGAATTGCCAATGACCCACAGTGAGACTCTGAGCATACCTCCTCCCCCTAGTGCCTCGTGCTCACCTGCAAAGCAAGGAATTGAGGCTAGAGATGGTTTCAGTTTCACTGTACCAATTGTACCAATCCCCCCAACCCCTGCCTGGTCTCCAGGGACTGTAGGAGCCCTGTACACTGGCTGTGGCCTCTGAGGTGACTTAAATAAATGGCCTGTGAGGCTCCTGGACTCATCACACAGTGGGGTAAGACTCAGGTCTCTGGAGTCAGGCTACTGGTCAACCCTTAGGTCTCTACTAGGGATGTGAGATTGGGCACATTTCTTAACCTCTTTTTACCTCTGTTTTTTCTCTCTTAAGTCAAGTGGACGATTTATTAGCATGAAGAGGGTTAGTTCACATAAAGCATGCAGACAGTAAATGGGGCCGAGTGGACACTCAATAAATGTGGGATATTCTGATGCCCCACAGCCCGGAGCTCTGATCAAACATGAAGTTCACGGTAGTTGGAAAGCGGACAGAGTCCAGGAGAAAAGAAGAAGCAGACAATGGAGACAGTCTGACTTTATGCCATCGTCAAACCATAAACCAGGCCAGTGTTCCCCAGAGGGTGCTCTGGAAAAGAAAGGGTTTCAAGATCAGACCAGCTGGGGCACAAATCTCACCGGGCTGCTCCCCTGAAGGACTTCCCAGGGCCTTCCATTTCTTAGCTGGCAATCCCTTTTGAGGCAGAGCCTCCTGCTGCATTAGTGCACGAAAGAACGTGCATGGGAAACCCTTGACTAGACCAGCACCCACCAGACTGTGCACAGCGCCTGGTGCCCAGGTGGGCCAGGAAGGTGGGGCAGGACAAGTGGGCAGCTGGCAGTGGACACGGGCCACTTTAGACTCAGCTCCTGTCCCTTCTCCTCGCTTGTGCCAAGTAAGTGTCTGCTTCAGGACCTGAGTGCTCACCGTCCCTCCTGCCTGGAAGGGTCTGCACAGAGAGCCACACACCGTCTCCCCTTCCTCCTTCGGTCCCTTTATTGAAGACGGCTTCCCTGGCCATCCTGTCAAAGCCAGCGCCAACCTCTCACACCCATGGCCCTCTGTGCCCTTCCCTGCTTTGCTGCTTCTTGCACTTGTCACCACCTGCCACGTGCTGTGTATCTGGTCACGCCTGTCACCCACCCCTCATACAGGACGCTGGACATTTCCATCACCTCTGTGTCTCTGGTGCCTGAACAGGACCCAGGACCCTGAAGTGCTAAGTATTTATTGAAAGAAGGAGCAGATGCCCCTCAAGGGGCCCAGCTAGAGCCCCAGATAGTGCCTGGTGTCATCTTGCAGTCAGTTTCTGGATCCCCCATCCGCCCTTCCTGACCTGCCCTTCCAAGGACAGATTCTCCATGACACCCTTTCAGCAAGGACCCCAATTCCCGTGATCATCCTGGGGATCCCTCTGGCCCAGCTTGAGTTCTTTTTCTCCTTTCTCCCCCAGCAAACTAGCTCTGGTTTGGGAGGTGCATGAAATCCACACACCACCTGAGCCAACAGGAGTGTGTGGGTGTGGACAGCCCAGACCACCTGGGTTCAAATCTCAGCTTGCTCACCCCAGGCTGCATAGCCTCAGATAAGTAACGAAATCCCCACACCTTGGTTTGCACATCTGCAAACCGGGCACATCCCATTTCACAGGTGAGAAAAGCCAGGCGTGGGTGAGCAAGTGCGGAGCTGGTGCTCTGAGCTCCAGGGTCCTGCCCTGCGTACCTTGAAGAAGCCAATGATGCCCACACCGTAGGCCACGCAGTACTTGTCCAGCAGCTCCCGGTTCCAGGCGTCCAGGTTGACGTACTTGAGGATGTTCTCATAGATGATGAGGGCGAACCGGCCACGGCCCTTGTCGGTGAGCGTGGGCATGTCGCCCTTGCCCGGAGCAATCTCTGTGCGGTACTTGAAGCGGCTGGACTCCAGGATGGCCACGACCTCCTGGCCCAGCTGCGAGTAGAGGCTCTCCACGAACACCAGCACCAGTGGGTCCGTGCGGGAAGGAGCGGCGGCCTGCACGGGCTTGAGTGGCAGCAGGCGACTGGGGGCCACAGGGGGCGGGTCCCCACAGTCGGGCTCCGGGGCATCTGCCGAGGGCTCCAGGCCCCGCTTCCAGCCATACAGGTAGTAGGCCGAGACAAAAACGCTGAACAGGCAGAAGATGAAGAGCAGGAACAGGACAGCCTGCGGGGACACGTGCCGGCACAGTCTGCGGAGGCACGCCAGGGCAGGCATCCTGGCCTCCGAGCCCGTGGCCACCGGAGGCCTGGCCTGCCCTGGCCACCCCGACGCCCCGCACAGGAGACACAGGAGTCGTCTGGCGACCAACAAATTCACAGAGACTTAGGAAGCAAGGCCCTCAGGGGGCAGCGGGCGTGGAAGGGCCCCCGGCCCTTCCTCCCAGCCAGGGGCGCAGTCCGCAGGCTGGTCGCACTCCTTCCTTCCTCTGCGCCCCTTTATGTCACCATGGCAAACTCCCTCGTGGTCCTGCACAGAGCAGAAGTGCCCCAGGGCGTCAGGGCCTCCTGGGGGTGCTGGACAGTGAGCCAGAAGAGACTGGGTGGGCCTGAAGGTGCCGCATGCTGCTCGCTCGGTGAGGTCCACAGGGTTAAGGCTGTGGAAAGAACAGGAGAATCAGTGTGGGCTTGGGGATCGGTGACTGTGGGCACACTGAACCTGACCAGGTGGGCCCAAGTTCCAGTGCTGGTGGCATGATTGAGGGCAAGCTCTCAGTTTCCCCCTGTGTGGAACAGGACAGACCACCTCCAACAACAGTACCCACCTCCCACGGAGCTGGAGAGTTAAGCCCAGCTGTGTATAAATCGTGCAGAGCAGTACCTAGCAAATGACATTTGCAGGTGGTAGCTGCTATTGTCTTAGCAACAAGGCCAAGAAAGATTCAGAAGCAGAAAGGACAGAGCGAGACAATAAATGTCTGTAAAGCCTGCAAGCTAGAGGTGGAATTCCAAATCACAACCAAATAACCGCGTCCTCACCATCTCCCCCCTGCTTCTCTGTCCCTTTCTCTCCCTGCACGAGCCCAGCAGCCCCATTCCACAGAGGAAAAGGCGGAGTCTCCAGCAGAAGCAGCTGTGCCTTGGCTGTACAAGAAAGACCGAGGGGAGACCCTGCGGTGCCGAGGGTTAACTGAGTGAATGTCTGAGGGGTGTGGGGCAAGAGACACTCAGAGGTGGCAGGTGTCACTACCTGTCCTAAATGCAAGCAGGCATCTCTCATCCTGGGGGCACATGCAGGTACACACAGCAGCCTAGGACACCAGATGAACAAACTCCAGCCTGAGGACCTGAGCTTGCCAGGGCACAGGTGGGAAGGCTTCCCCCGCAGATGGGCCTTCTGTCCACCCAGCCAGAGCTGGGCTCCAGACTCCCCCTCAGCCTGAAACACCCCTCCACACACACACCCAGGCCATGCCACCTGCACCTTTCTCACTAGAGCGAGTTCAGGAAGACCCACACACACTGCACCAAGGCTGAATTCCCTTACCCCAACAGCAACCCCAAAGACAGCCCTCCAGTCTCCCTTAACCATCAGTCCAATCTACATGAGACCAATCCCATAACCACGAGTCCAATCTATTTCCCAGCAATGCCAGGAGCAGCTCCCTATCAGTCACAACTGCTGAAAGCTAGCAGGCGCACTCCCATAGCCAGAACTCAGAGGGAGAGGTGTGAGAGCCAGCTCAAGGGCTGGGGGGGGGCGGAATTCAAGCATCTCCCAGTCCCAAAACTACACGGTGTGCTCGTGTGCTCGGCCCGAGTGCAGCATGCCGGCGGGTCCCAGCAGGTACGCTTCTAGGAATCTATCCTAGAGTGAGTAAAGATTCCCGCACAAGAATGTGAATCCCAGCGCAGCTGATAATAGCAAATGCCCAACAATAGGGGATTGTCTTTAGAATTTATAATGCATGCATGTGATGGAATTCTAGGCAGCCATTCACAGTATGTCAAAGAAGACATTTACTGACACAGGAGTAGGACTACCATGTATAAGAGTTAAAGCGAAAAATGTTTATAAAACTGTATGTATAGTCATATTTTTGTTAAACATTGTTAAAGTTTCTTTCTTCCATGAACAAGAAAGAAAGAGAGGCCACCCCTAATAAAGTCTTGACACTGCAACCGCCCCCACCTTCTACCAGTTCCAGATCATGGCCAAGGTATGCTCAGCCCTACTCGAGGGGTCTCCGGGCTTGAACCAGGGATCTTCCCATAAGCGGGATTTCCTCACAGGGCATCAAGTTTACCGCTGTGTTGCCATGCGGCCCCGTTAAACATTTTTATGCAAAGGCTAAAACTTGTGCTAAATATAAAACAAACTGTTAATACCGATTATCTCTGGGTGGTTTTTATTTTCCATGTTTTGTTTGTGAAATGAGACAGCTGGGACAGACAGGCCTGGTCCCAGCTCTGCCGTGACATGCTATGTGACCCCAAACACACCCTCTCTCTCTCTGCACTTCCTGCCTGTTAGCCGGAGCTTGGGCCAGGGAACCCCCTCAGGGCTCTCCCGCCTCCGCTCTTTCACATTTCAGTCCCCACTGTGTGCCAGCAACCTGGGGAGCCAGAAGCAGCCAAGAAAATGGGCACCTACAATGCAGGCGACCGTGTGACAGAGGGGAAAGCAGAGTGTCTGGGAGAGCTACGGGTACTTAGTGCCTCTGGAAAGGGGAAGGGGGTGGACTGGGGAAGGCTTTTGAGGAAATAGCAGCTGAGCTAAGCAAACAAGGGAAGGCTGGGCAACAGGTGCATGGAGGCTAAAATGGCAGGATCCCACAAGGTTGACTGCATGGTTAGAGTCCCAGACCCAGGCCTTGAAAATCATGCCAGGCGCATGTGCTTGCATGCCTGAAGTCCCAAGAGGAGATTGGAGAAGGGACTGTGGTGTGGCCATCCCCTCTGGGCATCCACAGTGAGTGATTTCTCACTTCCCCTGTCTCTCCGGTGAGCACACGCACTCTACAGCAAACTAAAAAAACCAAACAAACGACAACAACAAAAAACAAACTATACTCCCCCCAAACAAGGAAAGGCTGGCCAAGGCAAGGGAGAAGGGAGGGCACATGCCTTAATGTGGAGGTGAGGGGGTACGCAGCAATTCTCAAGGACTCCCTGCAATTCTAGCTGAGACAGGGGAAGAAGGGGCAGGTGTCCTAGGCAGAGCCAGGAGGGCTGGAGTGACTGGTCCTGTTTATGCCCAGAGTGAACTCATGTCCCATTTACCACTGGTAGGGCAGCCTGTGGGCACAGCCAAGCCCCACCCCTTGGCCCTGGGTCAGGACAGAAGCACAGTGAGGAGGGAGGGAGGGATGCCCTGCCCGTGCCATACCCTCACGGGCTACACAACCCCACGGAAGAGGAAGAGAGCAGTCAGCCACTCCTCGCAGGCCCGAGTGCTGTGGTCACTGACCCTGTCTATCCCAGTAACAGCCTTTCATCATGTTAATGGTGCAGTCCTCGGGCTTAGGCATCCGGGGGTCAGGGACCCCTGTGGGAATCTGACAACGTTTCTCAGATATAAAAAAAAAACAAAAACACGCACATTAAAAGAACACACTTAGTTGCCAGAGTGGGGGTTGGGGAGACGAATCGGCAGGACACAGTGGATCTGCAGGGCAGTGCAGCTACTCTGTAGGATGGCACATTGGTGGATGCGTGTCACATGCATTTGTCCAAATCTGCAGGACATAAACCTCCAAGAGTGAATGCAAATGTAAATCACAGTCCGGGGTGATAAGGACTCATCAGTGTTTTGTCAGTCGTAAGGAATGTACCACTGGGGCGGAGGGGGTGCTGATGAAAATGTGAAAACGGGGGAGGCGGTGTGTAGGGGCAGGAGTGCCGGGAGATCTCTGTACCTTCCCTTCACTTTCATTATGAACCTAAAACTGCTCTAAAAAATAAAATCTATTAAAAACATATATACAATGGACCAGTTGGGGGTGTGATAATTAAGGCACTGGATCCCACACGGCTAACTTCATGGTTTGAATCCTAGACCAGGCAGTTTGACAGTTACACTGGGGAGACAAGCAGGTGGCATAACAGTTGCGTCATTGGACTCCCATGCAGACAACTGTGGTTCGAGTCCTAGACCCGGCGGCTTAAAACACCTCAGGCACCTGTGTGTGTGTATGCCCAAAAGCTTGAGAGGAGACTGGGGAAAAGGGATTGAGGCATGGCCATACCCCCTGAGGGATCACTTCTTGCTTTCTGTCTCTCTCTCTGTCTCTCTGGCAAGTGCACATGCCCTATAGCAAAAATTTCTCTCTTAAAAAAAGAAAATCACACTTGGCATATTTGTGTGCATGCCCAAAATACCAAGAGGAGAATAAAGAAGGGATTGAGGCGTGGCCATCTCTTGTGGAGGGTGTTTTCTCTCTCTGTCTCTCTTCTTTTTCTCCCTCTCTCCAGCAAGCACATGTGCCTTCCAGCAAACTTCTTATTAAAAAATTATATAGATAGCAGTTACATCATTAGACTCCTGCATGACTGACTACAATTCGAATCCCAGACCCGGTGGCTTGAAAATCATGTTATGGGGACCAGCAGTTGGCGTGATGGCTATGTCACTGGACTCCCATGTACTCGACTGCAGTTCGAGTCCTGGACCCGGTGATACCATTTAGATATATTGAATGTGATGGACAGAAATTTCTCAGGCTTCAAACTGAAATCCAGAATTGTAACTCAATTTTCTCATTATTCTTGATGATGGAAAAATTCTTAGTCTACTAAATGTAAATTCTATCAACCATCAACTCAAAAGTTTTTTCAGTCAATTCAGAATAACTCCTCTTTGAGAAGGGATTACGGTGTGGCCATACTCCCTGAGGGATGATTTCTCACTTTCCCTCTCACTGTCTCTTTTTCTCTTTCTGGTGAGTGCATGTGCACTAAGGCGAAAACCTCTCAAAACAAATTAATTAAATTAAAAATTATACAGATAGCTAGATTTGTTCTACCCGTAGTGGTACAGATACTAGGGCACAGCTGAGCAATCCTGGACCACATGGGGAGGCCCAGGGTTCCAATCCAGGGTTGACCTGAACACATCAGGTGTGTCCACGATCCTGGCAGAACAGAAGGCTGGGAGGTAGGCTGAGACCCTATCGTGGGTTCTGGTCTCTCTCTCTCCCCCCATCAAAAGATAAACTTTTATACACACACACACACACACACACACACATGGGAAAATGCTGATGATTTCAAGTTCAGACCTTCCCCAGCCCAACCATGGACCCAAGGTCCTAGACCAATGAAGCCTATTGATAACATGGTGGCTTCGGTCAAACTCAAGACCCACCACTTAGTGCCGTGGAATCCTGGGCAAGCTATTTAATTCCTCAGTGTCGCAGTTTCTTAATTTGTAAAACAGGAACATTTTACACCCCCTCCAAGGCTGTGAGGGTTCCGGAGGCGCTCGGTGCACACCTGGCACGCAGTGCCGGGTCACGGCCAGCTGCTATCGGCACACACACCTGTTGTCTCTTTCACACACTCACAGCAATCCTTCCCCACGCGGATGACGGCTCAGCTCACAAAGCACTTTCCAGCCCATGTCAGGAGCCAGCTTCTGATGGCCTGGGGTGGAGCA